ACCCTAATCTCTAACTACAGAGCCTTCGTCGTCTTTCGTTTTTCTTCTAAATCAAAGATCGCACAGGACTGAAATTAATTAGGGTTTATCTACTGATTTCACAACGCTTTAGTTTTTAAGGAAATTTTTAATGTAATTTTGTTATTAAGGTTTCCAATCGAAGTTATAAATTCTAATTTTGTGTCACAACTCACACAAAAAATTGAATGTGTGTGTGTTTTAGGGTTTTAAATCAGTTTGTAATATCAAAAAGCTGTTGAGATTGATTTTCGAAATCGTGATATTGCTTGTCTCCAATCAAAATTAGGAATCAGTAAGATTTTTTTTTGTCTCCAATCAAAGTTAGGAAATATTGACACTTACATATCCACCTAGAATTACCATTGGCTGCAATAATTAGTAATATGTCGATCCAATAGACCAAAAAAAAGAGAGAGGAAACTTCTTAGGCCATCTTCATTTTGGGTTTCAAATGAGATAAACCCTCTCTCTCATTTAAACATGAACATTTTTTATTTTATAATTGGTTTCTTGTTTTGATAAATCATTATCTCACAGTTTAGTATATTAATTAAAGTAGTGTATGTGTTGTTATTTTTTTAATTTTTATAAATGATAAAATAAAATTATATGTATATAAAGCTCCACTTTGTCTAATTTTCATTGATATTACTTAATGTTAATACAAAATATTAAACTAATAATGTTTTAGTTCATACAATAAATATAATAATTAAAAACAGATATTTAAAAAATTAAAAGTTATATTTTGATATTTTTGTCAACATTTTGATAAAACCATGTCTAGTAAAAAAATAGAGTAAATATAGAAAAATACATATGTGAAATGAAATGGTTCGGTACGAATTTTTCGTGCCAGATTCTCCTGTAGAAAAATACCTTCTTTATGACTTTTTGTTTGAAAAATACCCTATTGTTTTTTTTCTCTTTTAAAAATTATTTTTAATATATAAAATTACTAAAATATCCTCACTAAATGTTAGTAATAATTAAAAAGAATTATCATTAAAACAGAAAATCCATTAATTTAATTTTTAAATTAAAATTTGATGTAACTAACAACTTTGAAGATAATTCTTATCTTAAATATTTTTTTTAAATAATTTACGATTCTTGGAGGGTTGGAGATTGATTTTTTAATTGAAAATTTTATCTCAAACTTTCATTTTATATTATCTTGTTAAATTTTAATATATAAAATATATAAACTGTTTTTATCTCAAAAATACTTGAAAATAATTAATATTTCAAATTTAGTTTATTAAATTTTCTTTTAAATTTCGAATTTAGTTTAATTTAATAAAAATACAGCATTTTAAATGTGGATAAAATTGTCATTTCACATATTAAAAATTTTATTTTTTATTTTTTTGGTACAAAAAATTGTAATTTTTATTGAAAATAGAGAACCGTGTATGTTTAATTTCAAACAAAAACTGATTAATAGGGTAGTTTCAAAATTATCTATTTTAGTTGAAATTAAAAACCTCATTATCAAATATAACTTCCATTGGTGAGATGCCCAATGGTTATCTCATAAATATTTTTCTTTTTTTAGCAAAAATATAGAGATCATGATTATAATTTTTATACTAAATATATATATTATTTCATTTGAATTTTTTTTGTTAAATTTTCATTAATATTTTAAAACAAATATCAAATTACTTGTTAAATATATTCAATATTAGTAATCTTAATCTTAATAACAAAAATTAACAATGCAATCCATTGTAAAGAATACAATCAAAGAGTTATAATTTCCTAAATAACAAAATTAAGCAAAAACTATATAGAGTAAACTTAAGAAAAATAATTTGTTTTTTTGGAGATTTTGAAAACTACCCTATTTATGAGTTGTTGTTTGAACAATATACTTTTCCCTATTTTCAATAAAAATACAATATTTTCGTACCAAAAAAAATAAAAAACTAAAATTTTTAATATGTAAAATGACAATTTTATCCACATTTAAAACACTGTATTTTTAATAAATTAAAAATAAATTCGAAATTTAAGAGAAAAAAGTAATAAAATAAATTCGAAATATTAATTATTTTTAAGTATTTTTGAGATAAAGACAGTTTATTTATTTTATATATTAAAATTTAACAAGATAATATCTATAAACATTTTAAAGTCTATAATATTTTTCACATCAATCTCCAACATTCTAAGAATCGTAAATTATTTAAAAAAATATCTAAAGATAAGAATTATCTTTAAAATTGTTAGTTACATCAATTTTTAATTTAAAAATTAAGCTAATGGATTTTCTGTTTTAATGATAATTCTTTTTAATTATTACTAACTTTATTGAGGCTATTTTAGTAATTTTATATATTAAAAATAGTTTTTAAAAGAGAAAAAAATGGAATAGGGTATTTTGCAAACAAAAAATCATAGATATAGTTAATATTATTTTGGTGAGATAAACAATAAAGATGCTTATATATCTCTATGAGATAAACAATAAATCATAGATAAAAGGAAACCTATAGTTGAACACGCTTATATATCTCTTACTACGGAACCCTAAAACTTCACAATTCTCTTCTCTCTCAATTTACGACTTCTTGTGAATCTCTTAAGAATATTTTTTGAGAAACCTATTTCAAACATGAATGATATTACCATTCCCAATCCTGTAGTGGAAGTTCATGTCCAAGCTGAGAGAAGTCTCTCTTCATCAGAAGGATATGGTTCCAGTCATCAATCGTAGAGCTCAGTCCGACACAGGGGACACGTGTTTTTACGTTTGAGCCACTCCAAGAGACAGCGATTGTGGAAGACATGGGAACAAGTCATGCGTGTTACGTGGATAAGTTTCGGATCGGAGAGATTCTCGAGACAGATGGAACACGACTCTGTGTCCATCTTCAAGCTCTTCAATTCCTCTGCTTTCACTCTCCCTAGCAGAACCATTCTCAATGATTTCTCGACGTTTGACGTAACGAAGACGGTCTGGTAAGTAACTGTAACGGTCATGGTCAAGGTAAAGCCGTTGCGTCCAAAACCCAAGTTGATGGCCTCCGTTGAGACCTTTGTGGCTAAGATATCGCACAAGCAACCCCAAGGGTAGCCGACTAATCGATCGTGGAGAAGCGTTCGGATGTGGTCGTGACTAGAACTACGGAGATTGATATCGATGAGAAAAGGTGGTGAAACCTGAGTGGGCCGGCGCCGGGTTTGATGACCGGTTGTTGGGTTTTCAAAGATCTCTTCAGATTTGGTGTCGATGACAACGATGACTGAGTTTGGTTGTGATGGAGAGAGTTCCTTGCGATTGATGATGCTAAATTCCACTTTGCGAGAATTCATGTTTTGAAACGCAAAGAGATTCACACAGAGAAGAAGAAGACTTGGCAAATCGTAATGAGAGCAAATTGAGAGAGAAGAGAATTTGTGAAGCGTTAGGGTTACGTAGTGAGGATATATATAAAGAAGCGTGTTCAACGGTCATATACTCATATCATATATATCTCAGGTTCTAGTTTCCTTTTTTCTTTGTTACCTAACAATTTCCTTTTTTTTGCCACAAAACAATTTCCTTTTCTTTTTTTTGGGCTTTTGAGTCGACAATTTACTAATTATTGGAGTCAATGTTAATTCCAGGTGGATATCTAATTCTCCTTTAATTGATTCATTAGTGGCTAACATTTGTTATTTCTTTTGTTATTTAAAACTACCTGTCTTTAGAGCAAAAAAAAAAAGAGAATATTTGGTCGAAAAACCTATCTCAAAGTTTTCTAGTGCAGTGAGTATTGTTGTTCAACCAAATCTTCTCTTTTTACTCTAATTTTATTTTTTCGCCTTTCATATAAATACTTTGATATAGGCTTTTCAAATTTTTTTAATCCAATATCTGTAATGCCCCTGATGTTTTCATGGCTGATGAATTATGGGATGAATTGTATAATCTTGTTTTGCAGAGATAATATTAAATTATTGATACCATATACTGCTTATGTTGAGTCTGAATTATGGGACTCAAAAATATTCAAAAATGGTATCATCCTTACCAAGAGTTTGCGGTTTAGCATAAGAGATCATGGACGTGTTTTGGATGACATGTTTGTTCAGTTCTCGTTTCCGTCAAAAGTTGATATACTATCAATGTTTGGAAGATTTTCCAGATTTTGATTTCTTCACAACTATTGACTTATTAAATTATTGATACCATATACTGCTTATGTTATAGTTGTGAAGAAATCAATATACTATCAATGTTTGGAAGATTTTCCAGATTTTGATTTCTTCACAACTATTGACTTATGTGTTCAAATTCTGAGGTTGCTTCTTCCTTATGTGTCTGAAGATACAACTAGATTGATAGCTCAACCTCTTGTAGAAGTTGTGGAGTTGGATTTTCATGAAACAACAAAAAATCAATTTGCTTTCATCAGAGCAATAATTAGAATCACTGGCATCATATGTTTTGTTTGCCGAATACGATTCCATACAAAAGAGACTGCTATGATTGAACTTCAGTATGAATATCTTCGTAGAGCGCACTACTGCTACAGCAGAGTGCTAACGTATGGTAGAGCAAGCCTTACACTAGAAGTGATTTGTGCTGTACTATCCAAAGAGTTGAAATTTGGTTACAGAGGAACTGCAGAAGAACTTGATGTGAGAGGCAGGTCTATTAGTAGAGATAGGTCAAAATCCAAAGGAGAGAAAGGTGCTTGTTGGATTTGTGGGGAAGATGGCCACTACAAAAATGACTGTCCGAATAAGGAACATACTTATGGAAAAGGAGAAACATATGTTACAAGAAGGAATACACATGCAGCTTTGTGGGAAACTCTTTTTGGTGCCAATGTCTCTCACTAAGTGTCGATATTTCTTAACGTCGATAAACTAATCCTTAACAATTTTACTTAGAGAATTTGATTTCAGCAACAGCTTGATGTGAAGGGTTTTGGACTTTTGGTTATTAGTTAAGACATTACGAGTTGCATGTAAACTTAAAACCAGCACAGTTTAAGAGTTTATGTGATTAGAAGTAATGATGCTATTACAAATTTCAAACCTCTTCTTGAATTGATTTAAAACCTTAAAACACACAAAATTAAAATTTCCAACTTCGATTTGAAACATTGACAACTAAATTACATAAACTTTTTCTTAAAATAGAGCGTACGTGTGACCCAAGCTATGCAATAAAGTAGATAATTTAAAACCCTAGTTTCAATCCTCTATTCCAATAATTAATCATCATCATGGTAGAGCACAGTTCGACACATCGGGCAAGTGTTTTTGCGGTAGAGCCACTCCACGAGACAGTCATTGTGGAAGATATGGGAACAACTCATGCGAGTGAGTGTTTTCAAACGGGAGACTAGACTCTTGAGACAGATGGAACACGACTCTGTTTCCATATTCAAACTCTTCAATTCGTCTGCTTTGATCCTCCCTAGTCGAACCCTCAATACTTTTAATGATGTCTCGTCGACAAAGACGTACGGGTAAGTAACTGTGACTCTCACGGTCAAATCAACATCGTTGTACCCAAAACCTGCGTTGATTGCAGCCGTTGAGATCTTTGGGACTAAGTAATTGCACAACCAATGGTCGTTCCTATGGAGTCGAAACTGGAGTAACAACTCGATGTGATGGTGACTACAACTAAGTAGACTGAAATTCATGGGAATATATGAAAGTGGAATGGGCTTTAGGGTTCGATGGCCAGTGGCAGTGGAAGGGTTTACAAGGGTCTCATCCCTTTTGGTATTGATGGTGAGGAACACTGAGGTTGTATATTTTTCTGATGAAGAGAGACGTCTCTCAGCTTGAACCTGAATTTCCACTACGGGTTTGGGAATGGGATCATTCATGTTTGAAAGAGGTTTCTCAAAAATATTCAGAAGAGATTCACAAAACAGAATTTGCAAATCGTAATAAGAGCAAATTGAGAGATGAGGGAATTTGTGAAGCTTTAGGGTTTCGTAGTTAGGGAGATATATACTAAAAAAATTTCCTTTTAGTAAGAAGTCAATTTACTAATTATTTTCTTTAAATATTGATTCTTGTGGATAAAATCGTTATTATTTTTGTTTAGCAAAACTACCTAATTAAGATAGGACTCGGAAAATATCCGAAAATTTTTCGGTTCCTAATCGATTCTTGTTTAAAAAACCAAAATATCCGGAACGGGACCAAACTCATAAATGACGGATGAACCAAAAACTAATGATTTATTAAATACACATAAATAAACCGAAAACTTCAACTCGTTTGCACTTCAGAACATTTAATAACTGTCATTTTATTCTTTATCCTCCCCAAAAGTCAATGGCGCTTAGGACAGACTCCGACTCCAACTGGTTTTATTGTAATTCTTTCGAAGTTGAGGTCCATTGATAACGTTTATTTTTCGTCTCTTACCTAATTACTTTTCCCATTTTTGTTTATGCGCAAATCTTCTCTATTACTAATCTATAAATTGGATGAATTAAACAAATAAACATGTAAATTAAAACTAAGGTTTGAAAGCTGGCTTCGGATTGTGGTGCTTGTGGCAACATCAAAACATGTCATGTTGGCGGGTTTTGTGTTTAGCGATTAAACTGTTGTACCTTTTTGTTATTTCTATATCTCGTATATGTCCGTTAGTAAATGTTTGTAGTTTTTGATTTTCGTTATTTGTTTCAGTAGATTTTCATTTTTTCGGTTATTCGTATATTTCTATAATGTTTCAAAAACTGAATACTTGAGGTATAGAAACATTATAGAAATACACGAATAACAGAAAAATCGAAAATCTACAGAAACAAATAACGAACAACAAACATTATAAACACCGAGATATTTCGGTTTTTCTGTAAAAACTTAACATTCATAAAAGAAAATAGAATGAAAAATCTAAATAAATTTTGATTTTTTTTATATATATTTCTTTCTGAAATATCCTAGGAATAAACGAAATCTTATAAAACATGTGAAAAGATGAGTCATGATGACCATTATACAGGGATACATGTACATAGTGACTGCTACAGTCACGGCGTCAACGTTGACAGGCAGTTGATATCGGAGACTCTGTTATCTCGCCGTTAAATATTTCTATCGACAAAAAAAAAAAAATTAAATACATATTTGATCGATTTGGAGTTCTCGGATGTTGAAAATCTCCGATCGGCGATGAAAGGCGTCTCATCGGCGCCTGGAGATTACGTCTACTTTAAATCTCAGGTTCCTCTTCACAAGATTCCCGTAAGTTTCTTCTTCTTCTTCTTCTTCTTCCTCTCTCTGTCTCTTTGACTTGACTTTCTGCATTTGTTTACGCTTTAGAATTAGGTTTAATATCAAGCTCTTGAGGTTTTTGGAGAATTGTCCTAATTTTCGATTAATCTCTTATGGGTTTTAGGAGAATTCTTTCTGTGAATGTGTAGTTCGATCATAATTGGGTTTATGCAGCTGAAATTCATATGATTTGGGTTAATTTTTGATTGACATTTGGTTTCTTGTTTTAGAGCTAGTTTTTAGTTTAGTGATAGTCTCTCTCCGTTTTGATCTCTTAACTTCTGCAGATACCTCTGGGGTTACCTTTGATTTGATCTATGAGTAGTCTGCTACACAGTTAGTAAATTGTTTAGGTTTCTCTGGTTAAGTAAAGGAAGGTTAAGGTTATTTATCAAGCAGCTAAAACAGCTATTTAATGGCTCTATAAATTTATCGTTTTATCGGATTTTGTTGCTTCTAGTTGGGGAAATTGTAATATGTTAAGCTGTGTAGATGTATTTCCTTTGTTTCAAGCATCAGCATGAAGGATTTTATTATTTATGGTATTTGGTTTTTTGGAATGTCATTATGTTAGTGAATAAACAATCTTATATGCAACTCAACTGCAGATTGGGACAAAGCAATGGCGTTACTATGACTTTGGTCCAAAGACTGTTCCTCCGCTCATATGTATTCCTGGAATTGCTGGAACGGCAGATGTTTACTATAAACAGATTATGGCACTCTCTATGAAGGTAACAATCCTTTGTTCTTATCACATGTAGCCTTGAACATTTGTTAGGCTTTGGTAAGTAAGATATCTTGTTTTCTTGAATGTTGTTAAATCTGTAATTCCAGGGTTATCGGGTAATCTCAGTTGACATTCCACGGGTTTGGAATTATCATGAGTGGATTCAAGCATTTGAGAAATTCTTGGATACCATTGATGTTCATCACGTAAGATCTCTTTAAGTTACCAATCACCATCTATGTCTCTAAATGTTTTTAACTGCTGGGGAAAGATATGGCATTGTAAGTGATTGTACTTGACCATTGTTAACAGGTGCATCTCTATGGTACCTCCCTTGGAGGCTTCTTAGCACAACTCTTTGCTCATCACCGTCCAAGGCGGGTTAAATCATTAGTTCTATCAAATACATATTTGGATACTCGCACTTTTGCTGCTGCTATGCCATGGGCTCCTTTGTATGTCTCTCTTATATGATTGTTCCATCTTTATTTTCTTGTTTGTGCCTAAGTATTTGTACTGACTCTCAACGCTTTTTTGGGTGCTCTGTGCAGTGTTAGTTGGACTCCTTCTTTTTTGCTGAAACGATACGTCTTAACAGGGATACGTGATGGACCTCATGAACCCTTTATCGCTGACTCTGTGGACTTCGCTGTTTCTCAGGTGGCTCCCCTGATTATTTTATCTTTGATATTTTCTTGAACGGATCTAAATAACATGTGAACAAGGATTTTTAGATAAACTTACCATCTCGGTTCCTTTGGTTTGCTCTGATTTAGGTTGAGACATTGTCAAAAGATGATTTGGCTTCCCGGTTAACTTTAACAGTGGATGCTGCTTCCGTGGGATCTCTACTACTCTCTGATTCGTCAATCACTATAATGGATGTAGGTTTCGATTAACTATATCCGGAACTTGTCGTATTATCAATGTAATTTAGTTTTTCGTTGTCTAACGATGCTGTTTTGTCCCGAAATCAGACGAATGATTACTGTGCAATACCACAACATCTTAAAGATGAACTTACAGAGAGGTATCCTGAAGCAAGGAGAGCTTACTTAAAGACCGGAGGAGATTTCCCATTCCTATCACGGCCTGACGAAGTCAATTTGCATCTACAGGTACATATCGACTCAGTATCCACAGCCCAATGTTAAGTATACTATACTCGGTATCTACAGCCCAATGTATATACATTTTAGTTCTTTTCAAGAAATTATGAACCTCTAAAAGAAACTTGAAACTTCTCTACCTATTTTTTAGGTTTCATACCGTTGAAGGGATTTTTTTTCAATCAAACCGGTTTTATTGCTTGGTAAAGGACCATCATGTTACTGCATCAGAAAATTATAATCATATGATGAATCTCACTCTATGTTTGTAGCTGCACCTAAGGCGAGTAGGAGTAGAACCACGACCCGAAGTGGTTAAAAGCACTTCAAAAGGCGGCACAGATGGCACAGACGGTAGCAGCCAGAGCAAGAAGAAGACTGATGAGGAGAAGGACGACAATAACAACAATATGCATCAAGGCTCTGGAAGCTCATCTTCAGATCAATCACCGACATTTCCAGAAAGTTCTGGAAGCTCCAACGATCCGCCTTTACCCACAGACACCGTTCACTTATTGAGTTCATCAATGGATAACTTCGTATTAGTTCAACTCGCTGGTGAAGTTTATCAGTCCTGTGTGGTTTTCACGTTGTGTTACTGTACATTGGTTTTGGTTCACGGTGGTGGTTATCTCTCCAGACAATTGGTTTAGTGTTCTTTATTTATTTATTACCTCTTTTGTTGTTTAAATCTTTTTTTCTTACTTTTGGGTTTCTTTGATCGTTTTTGGTTTCTCTTGACTTTTTGTGTAAGTTTGACAGACGAAGCAAGAGTTCTTTGTATGTTCCATATGTTTCAAGTTATTACACTTTTGGAAGAAAACTTTGGTTGGGTTTGAGATTAGACCAATGTGCTTTCTATTATTTACACATTTTGCTCTTTTAAAGTTTATTTGTTTGGTACTGATTTACCAGTAATGAACTAAATCAGTAGAAAACTAGAAATGTTGTTTTTGTTCCCTAATAAAGTTAACGAAGAAATTGTAACATTTACAAAACTCAGGGTTATAAGTGTTATATTTTTGTAATTCAATTTGTTTCGTCTTCTTAGCTCCAGATTCTGAAACTTTACATGAGAATCGCGGAACTCTAATCGGATCCGGGTCGGGTATGTAATGTAACCCGGGTTTTTTCGAAGCCTCCATCTTCTCCGTCGATTTTGAAGATTCCGGCGATGTTTTCAAGATTTGTTTTGAGAATTTGGAAACCAAAAACTCAATTCACATCTCTCAATTCAATCAAAGGTTTTAGCTTTAGCTCGATAAACCCTAAACCCAAAATCCGAGTAGGGGTTTGGTGGGATCTAGACAACAAACCACCAGCCTCTTTCCCGCCTTACGACGCCGCCGTCAAGCTCCGAACCGCCGCGTCATCTTTCGGATCCGTGAAGCTAATGGCGGCGTATGCGAATCGTCACGCCTTTAGCTACGTTCCTTTAGAAGTAAGAGAACAGAGGAAAGATAGGAAATTGCTGAACCAATTAGAGAACAAAGGTTTAGTTAAACCGCCGGAGCCTTACTTCTGCGGCGTTTGTGACCGGAGATTCTACGCTAACGAGAAGCTTATCAATCATTTTAAGCAGATTCATGAGACTGAGAATCAGAAACGTATGAGACAGATTGAATCTTCGAAAGGACATCAAAGAGTGAGGCTTGTGGCTAAGTACTCTATGAAGATTGAGAAGTATAAAAGAGCGGCGAGGAACATTTTGACACCGAAAGAAGGTTACGGGTTAGCGGATGAGCTGAAACGAGCTGGTTTTTGGGTGAAAATGGTTAGTGATAAGCCAGAAGCTGCTGATAAGGCGTTGAAGGAACATTTGGTGGAAATGATGGATAAGAGAGAAGTGGAATGTGTTGTTTTAGTGTCTGATGATTCTGATTATGCGGGGATTTTGTGGGAAGCGAAGGAGAGGTGTTTGAGGACGGTTGTGATTGGGGATTCGAATGAAGGGGCGTTGAAGAGAGTAGCTGATGTTGCGTATTCGTGGAAGGAAGTTGTGATGGGGAAGGCGAAGAAGGAAGTTGAGAAAGTTGTGGGGAAGTGGAATGATAGAGATGTGTTGAAGAAGTTGGAGTGGAGTTATGATCCTGCTTTGGAGAAAGAGAGAGGAGGTTCTTGCGGTGTTTGGGATTACGAGTTTGATTGTGATGACGATGGTGAATTGATTGAGAATGGAACAGAGGTGGAGATTGGAGATGGTGGTGATTGGTGGAAGATAGATAATGAAGATAGTGTTGGATCTTCAAGACCTTGTCGATAACATCATAGCATTGTCGGGATTAGTTGTGCAAAGGAAGATAACAACTTTCTAGGCAATTAACATGGTCTAGGCTAGAGAACAATCTTGTGAATCTATGGCATATTACTTAAATTTCCGGCTAGAGAACATTCATTGTTTCTTGTTCTCTGAGATTATGCAGCGTTTTGATTTGATCTAGTGTTTAGAGCTATGTAAAATTTGGTCAGAATAAAGATAAATATAAGTTTGGATTCACAAGAAACAAGTGACAATAGATTGAATTACTAGAGTATATGCATCAAAATCCAAGCTAATTTATTCATCCGACATGATGGAAAAGACAATTGAGTTTCCACAATTGAAATACCTAAGTGACGAAGCTGTACATTGCTCAAAATCTACTAACAAATAAATGAAGCAAAATCTAGCAACACAGAAACAATGCAGACACGTAAATAGCCTTATGTTGAGAAAACCAAGTGTTTGTCCATTAACAGTGGAGCCATTTTTCCTGGCAATGCAAGTTCTCGGTTTCCAAAAGCTTAAGATAGAGCGAACTCCGAGCTCAAGAAGGGGAAACAGAGACCATGACTATAGCAGAGAGAAAGAGATAGAGAGATAGAGAGATAGAGAGATCACCAAGAACTCTTCTTCTTCGAGCCTGTGTAAAAACCCATATACCATTTCACAAACTTTTTCAAACCCGTCTCAAGATCAACCGCAGGTTTATAACCAAGCTCTGCTTGCGCTAACGTGATATTCGCGTGAGTAAACTCAACATCCCCATTCCTTGGTAAAGGCATGATCTTTTTCTTAGCTTTCATCTTCAAAAGCTTCTCTAATATAGTCACAAGCTTAGTTACCGGAACAGGCGAAGTATTCCCCAAATTATAAATCCTAAACATCGCAGGACCTTTCTTCTTACCACCACTACCAGTACTCTTCTCAGCAGTATCTAACGCACCTAAACAACCTTTTACAATATCATCAATGTAAGTGAAATCCCTAGCAACACTACCTTTATCAGGAGATTCAAAAACCGTAATCGTCTTCCCTTTAAGTATATCTTTAGTAAAGAAGAAATACGCCATGTCAGGCCTACCCCAAGGTCCATAAACAGTGAAAAACCGCAAACCCGTAAGCGATAATCCGTAGATATGGTTATAAGTATGCGCAATTCCTTCACCAGCTTTCTTCGTCGCAGCGTATAAACTCGCCGGTTGATCGGTTCGATCTTTCTCCGAAAAGGGTACTTTCGAATTGAGACCATAAACAGAGCTAGAAGAAGCCCACACAATCGCAGGTTGCGGATTCGCTGATTTCGACACTTCTAATAGATTCACAAACCCAGCAATGTTACTGTTCACATACGATCCTGGGTTTTGCATTGCGTAACGCACACCAGCTTGAGCAGCTAGATGCATAACATGTGTGAATAGGACAACATCAAAGAGCTTTTTGAGCAAAACGGCGTCGTTTATATCGCCTTCAACAACGAAAACACCTGATCTTTCTAAAAGACCTTGTCTTGCTCGTTTAAGCTTTGGATCGTAGTACCGATTGAAATTGTCAAGACCTAGAACACCATCGCCGCGTCTTCGTAACGCGATCGAGACGTGAGTACCGACGAATCCGGAAGCTCCGGTGACTAATACCGTTAAACCGCCGCGAGACCTAGGACGAGCGGATTTACGAACTTGTTTCTCCCAGTGAGAGCCGCCGTATTTCGCGGCGGAAATTGAGGAAGAATCGTTGAGATTCCGGCGAGATGGTGACGGAGGAGGAGATAAAATTAGGTAGAAGAGAAACAGAGCGAGGAAGAGAGAAGCCCAAAGCGTGAGTTTCGAGAGACGGAGGTAACGGTGGTGGTGGAGAATCCCGTACGGAGGAACTTTATCGGTTTTGTACTTTCCGGGAGTAGAAGGAAGATCATCAAGATGAGACATTTTCACCGGAGAATTCAGAAATCGGAGAAAATGTCGATTAGGGTTAGGGTTGGATTTTTGGGTCTAAGGAAGCAAAATTGAGCAAGTCAAATATGAGGATTTTCCGGGAAAGAAGAAGAGACGATCTCTTTTTTACTTGTAATCAAAATTAAATGTGGATGATTTAATTTGATTAATGATCAAATTAGAAAAAATTTATATATAGTTTTTTTTTTTTTGTTCAATCTTTAAGTGATGGTAATAATAAAGGCATAAAGCTGTCAGAGATTATAGATTCATGTATTTTAGATTTGCTTTTCATAACGTGTTTGTAGTTTGTTGACATTTGTATTTGTATTGCATTCTATAATTGATCATGTTATGCATGTACTTTTGTGTACACGAACACATATACAATATTTTATACGCAACATTTCCTTTTGTACTCTTTACTTTTGTTTTTAGCTTCTGTATTTATTGGTTTTGATTGATGATAAAGAAGGAAAAAAAAAGTACAAAATAACAAGATAGTTATAAGAAGTGTGAGATAACGGAAAAAAAACAGTATTCGATAATAAAATAGTTAAGAAAAAGTGAGACATAACGAAAATGTGAGAAATAATGATACAGTATCTGTTATTTTCGAGAATTATATCATAAGTTATTTTTTATTTTATGAAAATGATCTGTTTTTTTTTCAAAGAAGTGAACGTAAAATTGTAAAAAAAAATGATTTCAATTTTTTTTTAAAAACAAATATAATTAGTAGTACCTTTCTAATTTGTGCGAATTTTCTACTTTTATTAATTAATAATATATATATATATATATATATATATATATATCTTACCATTACAGTAGAATGTTATCAATCAAACATATTATGTGAATGATACTATGTGGATACAATGGTCATATATTACATTAATTATCATCATGTTACCAAATGTGAACAATATACTTGACATAAATTAAATATTGTTTTTTTTTTTTTTTTTTTTTTTTTTTTTTCATGATTGTTATATCTCACCTAACCATTATTTTCTGACATTAGACGACAATTAATGTTATATATTCCTAGTCTCATAGTAAAGCTTTAAAACCAATCCACATTTAATAAGATTTACAAATCTTAAAATACCATATAATCACGCAACACTGATATTTATCAACTTATTATAGTTTAACCTATCAGAAAATTGATCATTTTCTTATAGCAAATCTCTTTCTTTATGGTAAGAAGGTGCCAAATCAATTACTGCCAAAATATCGGTCATGCCATATACAGTTAATTTTGTAAATACTCTGGTTAGATTAGGATACTATCAAAATCAAGATTGACTTTGTCCTTCTCACGATCATTAACTAAAGTTACTATTGCCGTTAGAACAAAACCGGATGGGTCAAGGAAACTTGCTTTTATTGCACAATTACTTCAAAGACGTGTTGCTTGACGCTTGTTACTTCTGATATTGCATGTAAATGATTTTGAGTCAATTTCAAAACTAACATTGATATTGTGATGCATCCTATATAACAAACGAAGTCTATAATAAAAGTCTAAACGAAAAGCCATAAATTTGACTAATCTTCTTCCAGAAAGTTTTATATATGACTGCATATTGTTTTGGAATTTAGTATATGTTTCTATTTCTCCTCTCTACCATCGAAATCAAAGGTAAAAAGTTTGTTTTTTTTACTAAAGTGTAAGCTTTGATTAAAAGAGATTTAAAAAAATATGTCCTCTTGTTTCAATAAATAAGCCTCGCCACGTTTATAAGCAACCTTTGCTTTGACTTTAAATTTCATATATATCACACCATACTCTTCTTTCCCTAATGGACTGCAATATTTTAGTTTATAATTCCTATTTCATTTTCAAGTAAATATATAAATGAGTGATGGTTAAAGAAAAGAACAAAAAATTAAAGGAACATGACTTGTTTTTTAATCCAAGTTAAAGAGTATATATTCTGTCTCTAACAATGCTAAAAGTGGTTAAAACTCACATGAAACCTAAAAAGAATCTACCAACTCAACCATATTTTCTTGTGATTCAATTCTTAAGATTCATTTCCAAGCAATAGATTACATATGCCATATGTGTGTGTATATAATATATACAGGTGATCAAAATCATAATTTAGGCATTGGAGAAGGTAACTGACCAAGACATATAAAATATTTTGATCACTCTTAATAGTGTAACTGTGTAAGTTCAAATTAGCTCTTAATATTAAGAGCTAATAGTTTTAAGTTCAAATTAGCTCTCAAACCAGGATTCCATATATCATAATTTTTTGATCATAAATAGTCCTGGTTTGTTTTGTTATCACTGGAATAATTTGGTGTACTTACGGGCCTTTCTCATACATATGTTGGAACTATCCACAGGCCCATCTAAATTGTAAGCCCATCCTGTTTTTTATTTTTTATTGATGTGATATAGGCAGAACCCCAAACCAAACTTAATGGTATAAAATGATTAAAAACACGTAATGGTATAACGACTGTTATTTTTGGTTGTAGAAATTTTGACTTTAAAAACTTTTGCTGTAAGAAAACTTTTGTTATGAGGGCTTTGACGGTAGATACTTTTGTTGTAAAAGTTTTGGCTGTTGAGATTTTAAAATCAATTAATAAAAATTGTGAGTTTAGAAATTATACTTTCTAAATATTATAAATGACTATATGATGACATGTACGGTACAATGACTTTTTTATCTCTCTCGAAAAGGTCGTAATCATCGATATTGATACAATTGATGACGGTTTCCGATGATCGGTAAATCTCACCAAAAATTATAAAAATAGATCTTAAAAGAACAGAAAAAATGACTATTAGTTAGTCCATTATTTATTTGTAATAAACTACATATAGATTGGAAAAATAGTTTTTATTACTAATGGAGAAAAGAATAATGATAGAATAAAAGAAAGAAAAAAAGAATTTAATTTATTTTTAACCAAAAAAAATTCTTAAAACCATGAATACGTGACTTTAAACAAAGTAAACGAAAAAAAAGTGTAGAAACATTAAAAAAAAACAAAAAATAAGTAAGAGTCTGATTGGTAAAATTTTGACTGTTGATTTTATTTTTAGGTAAAAGCTCTAAGCCTTTTTAACCAATCACCCTGATAGTAACAGTACAAAACGGCAAGAGCATGGAGGTTTACTCTTTTAACTATGTTCTGTTTTATGTGGTTTTAATAAATCTCGTCGGAGTGGCCCTTGTAAGGATTGCTACATCATTCGGATGATTTCTAATGTTGGATGGGATGTGTCCTCTATTGAAGTCCGGCCCAAATTAGAGATTAACCTAATTGATTTCAAAAGAGTTCGAAGTTAACGTGTTTGTAGATCGTTGACATTTTAAAATCTTGTCATGTTATTTTGCTTGCAATTTTCCCTTTTAAACATGAATATAAAAACCAAGAAAATTTACATATCTAAGGCGGTGCGTCTTGTTTGATTTAGTCTCCTAAGTAACAATGTTGTCTAGCTAGATCTATTCAAGTAGATATGAATAAACAATACAACACACACAATCACACATTAGTCAACTAATTAAACCAACTGAGATCTAGAGAGAGAGAGTGTGAGAGCTTTCATGGAGCCAAAACTCTTCTTCCGTCTGTTTCTTCTCATCATCACGGTTTGTTTCACCGTCTTTTTCACTTCCACTAGCTTCTCTCACGCGCCGTCATCCACGGCAAAGCTTTTCGACTGCACAAAATCTTCCTCTTCGCCTCTTTGCGCGTCAAGAAACTTCCTTTTCAAGCAAAAAACTCGACCCATTGCTCAAAACGTTCCCAAAACAAAACCCAAAAACCATGACCACGTTTCCGATACACCAAACCACCCTCTTGACCCACTTACCGTCATGGAGATCAACAAAGTCCGATCAATCCTCTCCTCCCACGCGCTCTTCGCCTCACGTGAACCACACACGCTTAACTCCGTCGTTCTTGAAGAGCCAGACAAGAACCTAGTCCGACAATGGGACAAAGGAGACCAACTCCCACCAAGAAAGGCTTCAGTGATCGCAAGTGTGGGAGGTGATTCACACGTGCTTACCGTTGACTTATCTACAAATCTTGTTGATTTAGTGGATAGTCCGGTTCGTAAATCCGGTTACCCGATTGTGACGACGGAGGAGATGGACAGCGCCGCGAGTGCACCATTCTCAAACGCAGATTTCAACCGTACGATTCTTTCTCGTGGAATTAATCTAACGGACGTGGTTTGTATCCCAATGTCTAGTGGCTGGTTTGGTAATAAAGAAGACAACAAAAGGGTAACTAAAATTCAGTGTTTCTCATCTCAAGGCACTCCTAATTTCTACATGCGACCTATCGAAGGTTTGACTCTACTTTTTGATTTAGATACGAAGCAAATACTTGAGATAACCGATACCGGTCAATCAATACCCATACCCGGTTCAACCAATACCGATTATCGATACTCCAATTTCCCGAACCGGGACAAAACCAGACCTCTCAATCCAATCTCCATTGAGCAGCCACGTGGTCCAAGCTTTGTAATCGAGGATAACCATTTAGTAAAATGGGCAAATTGGGAGTTTCACTTAAAACCGGACCCGAGAGCCGGTCTGATTATATCCCGGGTCAGAGTACATGACCCGGATACTGAAAAGACACGTGAAGTGATGTACAAAGGTTTCGTGTCCGAGCTTTTTATTCCGTACATGGATCCATCGGAAGCTTGGTACTTCAAGACTTACATGGACGCAGGAGAGTACGGGTTGGGGTTACAAACCATGTCGCTCGAGCCGCTTAACGATTGTCCAAGAAACGCCGTTTATATGGATGGAATATTCGCGGCGTCTGACGGAACGCCGTTTGTGAGAGAGAATATGATTTGTGTGTTTGAGAGTTACGCCGGAGATATTGCGTGGCGTCACACCGAGTATCCCGTCCCCGGCACGCCGGTAAGTTCTCTTTGCTTCTCTGTTTATTTAAATATATTATCAACAGCAACAGTAACATTACAAATCACGTGTTATTAAGAGTTATGTTCAAATAAGTCTAAAAATTAGCTTTACTAACTTTAAACTTAATCAGTGAACAAATCGATTCTCTTAATTAGTTTTGTATAAGATTGAGATTTCACCGGGCACCACAATGATTGTTATATGATTTATGAACAAAATTAAAGAAAAAAAGACATCTACTTAATAAGACACTCAAAAAGAAAACAATTCCATAGTGTAAGATAAAGAGATTAATTACGATTGTTTTTAGTTTAGCCGTTACGGGAAGTGAGACCAAAGGTGACGCTTGTGGTACGAATGGTAGCCTCAGTGGGTAACTACGATTACATCATTGATTATGAGTTCCAAACTGATGGGCTTATGAGAGCAAAGGTACTTTCGATTTTTGACTTTATCTTATTTTCACAAAAATAATTTTAAATGATTCCGTTGATATTGAAAATATTTTCTTTTGGTAATAACAACGACAGGTTGGGCTTAGTGGAATCTTGATGGTAAAAGGGACATCGTACGTGAACAAGAACCAAGTGAAGAAAGACAAAGAAGGTAATGAAGAAGAGCTTTATGGCAATATTCTGTCTGAAAATGTAATTGGAGTTATTCACGACCACTACGTCACTTTTTACCTTGACCTCGACGTTGATGGCCCGGACAATTCCTTTCTTAAAGTGAACCTTAAGAGGCAAGAGACGGCGCTAGGTGAATCACCTAGGAAGAGTTACATGAAAGCGGTTAGGAACATTGTGAAAACCGAAAAAGACGGTCAGATCAAGCTTAGCTTGTACGATCCATCAGAATACCACGTCATTAATTCTGGTAAAACCACTCGGGTTGGTAACCCGACGAGTTACAAGATTGTCCCTAGAGCCACAGCAGCTAGTCTGCTTGACCATGATGATCCACCACAGAAGAGAGGAGCTTTTACGAATAACCAAATTTGGGTTACTCCATACAATAAGTCCGAGCAATGGGCTGGTGGTTTGTTCACTTACCAAAGCCATGGTGATGATACTCTTGCGGTTTGGTCCGACAGGTGATTAGTTGCGAAGAATAACCCTTTATGAGTTATATTATAGTTAATCTTCTTATGATTGATTTAGTGTTTTTATTTGGTGTAATGCAGGGACAGAGATATAGAGAATAAGGACATTGTGGTGTGGTACACGCTTGGGTTCCATCACATTCCATGTCAAGAAGATTTCCCAATAATGCCCACGGTTTCTTCAAGTTTCGATTTGAAGCCCGCAAATTTTTTCGAGCGCAATCCAATCCTTAAGGCCGCTCCAAACTTTGAATATGACCTTCCGGTTTGTGGAGCCAAATCTGTTTCTGCTTGATAAGAATGAAGAACCAACGAAAGAATCATCCAAATTTTGGATCTTATAGCACAACTTCAAATAAAGTTACAAGATATTCACTTTGCTATGTGTTCTTGGTGAAATCCCAACTCCTACTACACCAAAACCAGTAAGCGCAAAATAGTATATAACATGTTCAATTCACACCGGAATGTTAATCCAAATTGGAAACTAAAAAAACTCCATCTCCCATATGATTAGTTTCAAAAATAGATTGTGATCAAACTAAATTTAATATTCTCTTCTCCTAGAATCATTACTTTTGTGCATATATTCTCCCCCATTAACAATACAATTTCCCATATGATTAGTTCCAAATGTACAAAGTGCTAGAAGACCTTGATAAGATTTTTTTTGTTTTTGGTTTTGATACCCCTTAAATTTTTAAATTTGATATTTGTTCACTATGTATTCTGGACCCAAGTTAATTAACATTTAACAATTCCTGGGACTTAGTTAGTTAGTTTGATAATGCTTCGGCTTAAAATCTCGAGTTGACATAACATATGCTTCTTGATATCCTAATATTTTGATAGCTTTAGAGCTTACTTTTGTTGTTAATTTCTTGCATATTCATAGCATTTTAGTTTGTTTAAGATTGCATTTGCATCAAGATTGTTATTATTTATTTATTTTCATTCTCTTATTTATCTTCCTGAAATTTGGTCTTTATTTTATGTTTCCTATTGTAAAAATATTATTTTCCAAAATCGCTTTTGTTTCCATAGTTTGTAATATTTGATTTTATTAGTTAGATTCATTCTCGTTTTAGTTCATAATTTATAAAAATAAAACTTGGTACTGAAATAAAATAAAAATTGTATTAAAGATGTATATATAAATAGATATTACTAAATATATTATGCACCCATTAAGAAAAAGCTTGGTAAGCGATAAAATATTTTCTATTATATGTAAAAGCTTGGTAAGCGATAAATATTTTAGAGACTTTTGTTCTTGAGAGTTTTTGTCCCACATTTCATTACAAATTCTAAGTGTCGGATCCAATATACACAAATATTGGTATAATAATGTTTGATGATGTACAATTGTACATGGTGTTTCACTGTGTAGGTAGGAACTGTAGGATTGAAGGAGCTTACACTACCAAATCAAAGGTTTTTTTTTCAATCGTATGAATTACAATGGATAATGTTGTAAGTGTTTCTAAATGCTTACACTCTCAAATCTGAAGTTTTTAGTTTTCCAACATTTACCGAGTTAAGTTTGATTGCAAACAAATTTCTGTTTGATGATTTGCCACTGGAAAACTTTGTCAATGTTCATTTCGCACCCGATATACCACTGATCAATGATGTTATATCTTTGATCAATGCTTGGTCTACAAACTCTCTGTCGTACGGTCACAGTCCCGTAAATCATGTTTTCATTGAATGGGTACCTAGTCAGGTTCATCCTTTGGTTGAGCATAATGATGATTGCAGCAATGGAGGGAACGAGACGCGACATTCCGAATCATTTTCGTTCATTTTGAGAAAAAAATTTAATTTCTTTTGAAAAATTTCAAAACTATAGAAATTTATTCACTTATAAAATAATATATGTTTAAAAACAATTTTAAAATACTTGAAAATCGTTGGTTGTTAAACTTTTGGTCCATTGAAGAATTAACATGCATTGAAAAATATTTACTTCTTAAAAACAAAAAAGATTTAGAAAGATATGAGTAGTAAATAGATGCATAAGTTAGTGAAAATATATATATGACGAAGAGTTATAATCAGTGAAATATGAGGCCCCATACAAAACAATTTTTTTTTTGATGGGTTTTATAGAACAAACTAAAACTTGAGACCAAATCTTAAACTTTTAGGAAATGGGGTTTCTTTTTGCAATAGCAAATAGATAAAATTTAACAATTGAGACTATATCTGAAAATTTCAGAAAAATGAGGCATATTATTTGCAATAACTAATAATTTTGAGGCCTAAGTTTGATACTAAAATGCTTAAAAATTCTGGAGGCCCAATACCTTTGTTTTTTTAGAAATGTGTGGCAGGCCGGGCCTGATTATAATTAAAAAAAAACTTATAGTGAACAGAATACAAAACGAAATGTTATGATAAAAAAAAGTTGATATTTTAAAACACTTTTTAAATATAATATTTGTATTGGTACAATATTTTAAAACACTTTTGATGATTGCATCATGAGTTTTAGCGGTTGCAAGGAGTAAGTGGACTCCATATATCCAGTTTATGCAAGTGCCTATATCCTGGAAGTGGAGAAGCTTTGTACGGCTTTTCTCTGGTCGGGACAAGACCTTAACACACCAAATACAAATATGGCATAGAGGGATGTTTGCAGGCCAAAGTAGGAAGGAAGATTAGGTTTAAAGTCACTTGTGGAGGTGAGTTGTTTCAAATTGATCTGGAGGATTGTGTCGGGAACGAACTCTCTATGGGTTCATTGGATTCAAAGGCAGTTAATACGTTGAGGATTGTTTTGGTCATTTAAAGAAAATAAACCTATGGGATCATGGATGTGGAAGAAGCTACTTAAATATCTTTCACAAGCATAAGAGTTTCATATGAAGGAGGTGAAGAGTGGGCTCCAAACCTCTTGTGGCATGATAACTGGTGCTCTCCTGGTCTACTTTATGAGACTCTTGGTGAGAGGGGTTTCATTGATAATTTGATATGGGGATATCCACATATGCAAATGTAGCCTATGCACTTGCTCATCACCGTCATAGGTTCCATCGTCTTCCATTCTTAAACATGATTCAGTTGGAGATTGATAAAATCAAAGACAAAGGGCAATGTGAGGAGGCGGATACTGCTCTGTGGCGACGACCGGACAATAAACAGGTTCTCTTCCTCTAATACTTAGCAACAGATTCGAATTATGGGGTAAACAAAAAAATTGGCACAGGGAAGTCTGGTTTTCGAAATGGTCCCAAAGTTTTCGTTTCTGTTATGACTTGCTGTTCATAATAGATTCACCACATGGGACCGTATGTTGGCTTGGAACAGGGAGTAAAATCATCATGCGTCTTTTGTCAAGACCCAATGGATATTAAACGCGCTCCCTCAGCTTTCTTCATCATTATGCATGTTTCTTAGCTTGTTTTTGCCATTTGCTTCTCATATGTTTTAGGATTAGGATTTCCATATTGCCCTTTATCTACTTGATCTGATTCTCACAGTCTTGAAACACTTTGTGTGAAGTAATTTGGAGCCTTGAGGAGATGAATTAATTAACATAATTTTCTGGAAATGTTCACTGTCTGGACTCTGGATCCAAGTTAATCAACAATCCAGAGACTCAGATTGATAATGCTACTACCTAAATTCCTTGATTTGACATAACAAATGCTTATATCTCATCTAGGAGATATTCAGTCGAAAATAAAGATTTTCATCACTCACTGCTCATAAAACCATCACAAGATATTGACAAAAAAACGGGCTTCTGTTGGATTTATCTATCGACATCATGCGCCTCTTGGGCCTTCATCATTCTTCATAATCATACCATAGTTTTTAGTTTCTACTACGTACCACAAATATTGCACCGTACATATAGCATTGTAGGTTTCTAGGAGTTGACAAATGTTTAGTTCTCCATTTTTCAATCGTCAAAGATAAGATTCCTTATAATTCGTGTACATAACTTTTTCTTTTTATAATTCATGTGGTAGATATTTTATTTCGGGAATGATATTTGTATATCTCTTTATACTGTGAGGTGACGTACTGAATTAAGCTCACTAGTTTCTTTAATTCTATATAATACGATAAAAACTCCTATGATCTTCACTCACTAAAGCAACAACAAAAAAAAAAAAACTGACATGGACCAAAAAAACTTTTTCCGGTTGATTTTTCTCATAGTCACAGCTGGTTTCATCATCTCTTTCACTTCCACTAACTTCCCTCACGCGCCGACGAGGCTTCTTAATTGCACCGACTCTTCTTCTTCACCTCTTTGCGCTTCTAGAAACTTTCTGTTGAACAAACAACAACCAAGACCCAACAATCCTAAACCAAAGACCAAAAACCATGATCACGTCTCCGATACACCAAACCATCCTCTAGACCCACTCACGGTGGTGGAGATTAACAAAGTCCGATCAATACTCTCCTCTCACGCGCTATTCACCTCCGGTACACCACACGCGCTCCACACCGTCGTTCTTGAAGAGCCTGACAAGAATCTTGTACGTCACTGGGAAAAAGGTAACCCACTTCCTCCGAGGAAAGCTTCAGTCATCGCACGTGTTGGCCCCGACACGCACGTGCTCACCGTTGATATCTCTACTGGTCGGGTAGATTCAGAGAATAGCCCGGTTAGGGTTTCGGGTTACCCGATGATGACTATCGAGGAGATGAACGCTATGACTGTTGCACCGTTCGCAAACGCAGATTTCAACCGTACGATCATCTCTCGTGGAATTAATCTAACGGACGTGATTTGTTTCCCAATCTCTTGTGGTTGGTTTGGTAATAAAGAAGAAAACGCGAGGGTTATTAAAAGTCAGTGTTTCTTAACACAAGGAACACCAAACTTCTACATGCGTCCTATCGAAGGTTTAACCATCCTTGTCGATTTAGATACAAAACAAGTGATCGAGATATCCGATACGGGTCGGGCTATACCCATACCCGGTTCAACAAATACTGATTACCGCTTCGGAAAGCTAGCAACCACCGACAAAACCCGACTTCTAAACCCCATATCCATCGAGCAGCCACGTGGTCCAAGCTTCGTAATCGAAGACAACCATCTAGTGAAATGGGCAAATTGGGAATTTCATCTAAAACCTGACCCGAGAGCAGGTGTGGTTATATCACGGGTCAGAGTACACGACCCGGATACTCAAGAGACACGTGACGTGATGTACAAAGGGTTTGTGTCGGAGCTTTTTGTTCCGTACATGGATCCATCGGACGCGTGGTACTTCAAGACTTACATGGACGCAGGCGAGTACGGTTTTGGGTTACAAGCAATGCCACTTGTACCACTTAATGATTGTCCACGAAACGCAGCGTATATGGACGGAGTTTTCGCGGCGGCCGATGGAACACCGTTCGTGAGAGAAAACATGGTTTGTATCTTTGAGAGTTACGCCGGAGATATTGGGTGGCGTCACTCCGAAAGTCCCATCACCGGTATACCGGTAAGTCTTTTTGTTTGTGGGTTTTATTTACATAGAAAAAATTATTAGGATTTAAAAAGGTAAATCTTAAAAGATTGAGTGTGTTTAATGTAAGTAAATTATTATTTGGATTTAGTAGATAAGGGAAGTGAGACCAAAAGTGACGCTAGTGGTACGAATGGCAGCTTCGGTAGGTAACTATGATTACATCATTGATTACGAGTTCCAAACTGATGGGCTTATAAAAGCTAAGGTAATTTTCTACTTTATATCATTTCTAAAATATAAAAGATTCCATACGATTCCGTGGGATAATGAATATTCGTTTTTTTGTCACTAACTAATGTAAGTGATAATGACAGGTTGGGCTTAGTGGAATACTAATGGTGAAAGGGACAACATATCAAAACAAGAACCAAGTGGAGAAAGACAGAGAAGGTAATGAAGAAGAGCTTCACGGCACGCTTCTGTCTGAAAATGTAATCGGAGTAATTCACGATCACTACGTCACTTTTTACCTTGATCTCGACGTCGATGGCCCGGACAATTCATTTGTTAAAGTGAACCTCAAGAGGCAAGAGACCGAGCCAGGTGAGTCGCCAAGGAAAAGTTACCTGAAAGCTGTTAGGAACATTGCGAAAACCGAAAAAGATGGTCAGATCAAGCTAAGCTTGTATGATCCATCGGAATTCCACGTCATCAACTCTGGTAAAACCACTCGGGTTGGGAACCCAACGGGTTATAAGGTCGTTCCTAGAACTACGGCAGCTAGTCTACTTGACCATGATGATCCACCGCAGAAGAGAGGAGCTTTTACTAATAACCAAATTTGGGTTACTCCATACAATAAGTCCGAGCAATGGGCTGGTGGTTTGTTCACTTACCAAAGCCATGGTGATGATACTCTTGCAGTTTGGTCAGAAAGGTGATTATATTAATTCCAAAATAATAATTATTAGTTATATATATAGTGAAGATTCGATTTTTATATTTGATGAATCTTTGGTGCGATACAGGGATAGAGACATAGAGAACAAGGACATAGTTGTGTGGTACACACTTGGCTTCCATCACATTCCATGTCAAGAAGATTTTCCGATAATGCCCACGGTTTCTTCGAGTTTCGATTTGAAGCCCGTTAATTTTTTCGAGCGCAATCCAATCCTTAGGGCCGCTCCAAACTTTGAACATGACCTCCCAGTTTGTGGAGTTCAATCTGTTTCTGCTTGAGAAGAGTGGAGTACGAAATAAAGAAATAGCCACTTTTGGATCTTCCATAATTTGTGATACTCTTAAGGTACACAATGTAGTTTGTGGCCTTAAAACGGGTACTTAGATGTATAAATGTAAATGCTTTTGTATATGTGTATAAACGCGAGTCCATACATGTGGATTATGTATGAGTATAACTCTTTTCGAAAATAAGAACTTATATCTTATTTTATGGAATTGTTACGACGAAAAAAAATACACTATCTTGTTTCTGTCTCGGTAACTTTCACTATAAAAGAATCTGCTTACAACAATTTTTTGTTACTGCTGTTGTTGATTTTTCCGGAGTCAAGTTTAACCGATACAAATATCGCGATTCTTCGTCTTCCAGAAGATGATTTCAAAGCTGACTTCAAGAATTATTTTCTGCCATTCAATTTTATCGCTAGACACAGCCGGAACCGGTCTATTACGAAGATGGCAAACTAGTACTATATGCTGAATTTTGTTTTTGCCAACAATCATGATCATGAGTTAAGACATCGTTAATTTGATACTAAACTAGATGGGAACAAACACTTGGCGCATTGAGAGCTTAATCTGGAGTTATAGACGATTTTAGACAATCTAAAAAGTGTTTACATGATAATGTATAATAAAGTACAAAATATTTCAGTTTTGAGCTTAAACTACATTAAAATATGAAATTTAACAAACTATGAATTATATAGGTGTCGTCAATATGGAATTCATAAAATCAAATTCAATTTAAATGAACCATCTGATTCTAGTGCTTAGAAAATAATGGTCACGATCAACATATGCGTAGTGCCTACGGTGCCTACGCAGCCAATTCCTAGCCATTAATATATCAGGTTTTGGTTAAAAAAAAATCGGTGGTGATCAATTTTTCCTCACATGTGTATGTTACCTAAAACTTTCCAACACTTACAAAATTTTATGAAAACTTTCAAATTTCTTATTGGTTTTGAAAATTTGGTAAGTTGTAGGAAAATGTAAGGTTTTTTAGATTTTTCTGGTGAGTTCAAGATAAACAAAAACTTTTGTAAGTTCGTTCAAGCTTGTGACAAAGATGTCACATGGCTTATCGAATCATTGTTTGTTACATATGCTTACACATAAATGTTACTCGCTAGGAGGTCCTTATCTCACCTAATAATGTTAACATTTAGAGGAAAATTTGGTAAGTATTGTACTGATTTACGTTATCATGCATATTCACCAGCCATCATGATTTAATATAGAAAACAAATCCATGATTATCATCTACACATTATTTGGGATGATGATAAGTAGTTTTATATCTTCTATTTGGTTTTTTTTAGCAATTATCGAGATAGAACCACACCATGTTAGTTATGCAAGTCAGATTGAACAAAACTCTGAATGATAAAAAAATAACACCAGAAATACATTAAACTTTTACCCCAAATAACAAGTACTAATTTTATTTTTATAGTATAAGATTTGCAAAATGTAACAATCTTCACCTCTACAGGTAAAGATTTGAATCGGACAACCTCGGAATGGGCAAGGCAACGAGAGGGGTCTTGAGCTTCAAGACAATACCAAACTTCTCTGTCAAATCCAACATGTGGCCTTCCGGTATCTTCCAATCGAACGAATGCAATAGTGTTGCGAGAGTGTACAAAACCATCCTCTCGGCGAGTGCTATGCCAGCGCAAATTCTCCGGCCCGATCCAAATGGAAAATAGCTATAATTGGCTCCAGTGAAATCACAAGAGTTGTTATCAAGAAACCTTTCAGGACGAAACTCAGTTGGATTCTCCCACGCATTTGGGTCTCTCTGAATAGACCAAACATTGACGAAGATCTTAGTGTCTTTAGGGATGGTGTAGCCGCCCACCAAGGCGGTTTCAGCCGGACGATGAGGGACTAACAAAGGAAGGGTTGGGTGAAGCCTAAGTGTTTCTTTCATAATGGCTAATATGTAAGGAAGTCTTGTGATGTGTGATTCTTCAACAATGTTGTCTTTGCCTACAACTTCGTCTAGCTCTTGTTGTGCTCTCTTTATCAGCTCCGGGTTGCTCATTAGCTCGGCCATCGCAAACTCTATCGTGTTCGTCGATGTGTCTGTGCCACCAACCACCATATCCTTCATACACAAACAATATACATTAATGATCAAATCACTTTTCATAACCAAATAAATACCTACAATCTCAATTTATATCCTATTAACCCTTTGACAAATATTTATATCCTAACCCTTTGATAAATATTTATATCCTTACCCATTTACAAATACTTATATCCAAAAATTATGAAACTAAAAGCATTAATTAATCACCGTGAGTACGGCTTTGACATGATTAATGGTGATGGGAACCTCCGAGTCACCTTCTTGATTCTTTAACTTCATCAAATATTGCAAGAAGTCTTTGCATTCACCATCATCATCATCTCTTCCTCTTAACGGTTTCATCTGCTCGATGGCTCGATCAAGTACCGCATCGAGCTCTCCGGCACACACACGCATCCTCTTCACAAGCCCTTGAAGATCAAATCTCGCTAGCCACGGGAAAAAGTCCGAAACATTAGGCTCACTCAAAAGTCCAGTTAACTCAGAGATAACTCCCTTAAACTCTTTTCCAACACTCTCCATATCCTCTGCTTTCACCGACCCTCCCCATAACATATTCATCGTTAGATTCATCATCGTCAAAAACAATTGATCTCCAACTTTAACCGGTGATTCTTTTTGACTTTGCTCGTATAGATATATTGTTCGTTCCCGGACTTCTTTGCGTCGGAGCTCGTAAAAAGAATCCAAAGTTTTGCGGCTAAGGAGTTTGAGGACGCATATTTTTCTAAGCTGTCTCCATTCGGCGCCATATGGTGTCCAAACGATGTCTATACCTCCATAGGTAGCAGCTCGGCCAGTGAGAGGGACGTCTCGGTTTGAGAAATTGATGTCTTGATCTTTCAAGATCTCTCGAGCCAGCGATGGAGAGTTGACCACGATGGTTAGTTTTGAGCCAAGATTGAGTTTAAAGATTGGACCGTGACTTTGAGCGAGGTTTGCGAAGTAGGTGTGAAGGTCCGGGTCAAGAAACGGGAGGTTCCCGACTATAGGTAACCCTCGTGGTCCAGGCGGTAGAGGCAGTTGCGTCGAGCGTTTGAAGACGTACCATAGAATCGAGAAGATAGCGGTGAGAATGAGAATTGCGTAAGGAGTGAGATTGATTGTGTTGTCGGGGAAGAGATTTGAAATCGGAGACATATTTGATTAATGTTTTGAATAATAAATTTTGAGATCGATGAGAGGAAAGTGTTTTGTTAATTATTTCATCTTTTTATTATTATTTTGGATCAGAACTTAGAAATTATCCATCTTTATTTTTACTATATACTAGTATAAATTAATAATAGATAATAAGGGAATCCGATCATGTGACGGTCTCATGCTGATAACTTCTGAGCGGATGTGAGAGCAACTCTATCATCAGTGGTTTCTTCTCCATGAGAAATCCATATTAAAAACAAATCGAAAATAAATAAAAAAAAAATTTTAACAAAAAAAGCTGAGAAACATAAGCACTTTCTCTCATACACATGTCACTCTTATATTGGTTTAACAATTTCTTTTAAAAATTAATTACTCTATAATTTATGAGATGAATAATTTGATATTTTGTCAACATTTTGATATTTTGATAAATAATGTGTTATCTTTTGTCATTATTTACAAAATGTCTAATGTAATTAAAATCTATTTGATAAAATGATGTGTAATTTTAATCATATTGTTTTACAAAATGTCTGATATAGTTAACTAAATGATATGTTTAAAATTTAATATAAAGTTTTTATTAAAATATTAATTTTATGTGGATGAGATATTCATAGGATATCTCACTAATGGAGGTAACATTGTAGTATAAGTTTCAATATTATATGGTTGAGATACCTTGTGGCGTATCTCACCAATGAAGATGCTCTGATACTTTCCAATGTTTTTGAAATACTTTTCTTTGTTTTTTTCTAAGAAAATTGGATACCATTTTTTTTTTTTTTGATTGCATCATTTTGGAACATCTAAAGTTCTAAAAATAAATAAAACTAATAATTTAAGGGGAAAAAGTAGGCTCCGCCAACTTTTTAAATTGTACAACGAAAATTCATTTTCGATGGCTTGTAACTTTACTATGCATGGGACCAGTTTGCGGAGGTTTTGAGACCAAAAGACCTAAACTTTCTCAAGTTTTAAAACTCATAGTTGAACACAAATTTCAAGATGGATAGAATATAATTGATGACTTTTTGTGCTTTTACGTGAATGTTAATGAGACTCCTAAAAATTTGCTCGTTAAGCTTATAAATTTTTCAAAATCTTATTTGTTGTATGACCTCATTAAATTCCCTAAAATTCAAACCCAAAAAAAACCATAAGAAGAAGGGTTAGAGGACTTGAAAGCCTTTTCGTCGGGATTATCAATTTATCATCATCGATCCAAAAACTATTCTTACTGTCTTCATTTGGGTGGAGCTTCTCTATGTCATGTGATGTTTCTTTGCAGGAGTTTGAAGTAATAATATTCGCCTTCCCCAAGTATGTAGAAGCTACATTGGTTGTAGAGGGGAGGGGGGAGTTAGATTTTGATTTTTTTCTTCTCTATACTAAATATGCCGACACAATATTATTAGCGATCATGTGACAAAAAAAATTTAAGCTTCTATAGTTTTTCATTTAATTTTACAAGGTTATTAAACACTACGGAAACAGTCAATTTGCGTGAAAAACATCTCAAATTTGCAATAAAATTGCAGGGCATTTGTTACAAATATCAGTTTTCTCACAAATTTGCGAAGGATATATAGAGTTTTTGTTGCAAATTTGAAAAGGATTTTCGAGGAGCATATGAAGTGATTATGTAAAATTTTACGAAACTTTGATAAGTGGTGGTACTGAGATGCGTCATATTCATTATCCATTATAATACAATCAATAAAGAAGATCTTTGATTATTTAATCTAGAACGACACGTTCCACGCATCATATGAGTTCTAGGATCAAACAAAATTGGAACGAAAAACAAAACTGATATTTAAAAACATTTAAGTAAAATAAGTGGTCCTAGTTCAATAATGTTGCTGTTTATGGAAACGATGTTTGAATTTCATTACAAAACTTATGACGATTAATTAAAAAAGTTCAAAATATAACACACTTTTACCTAAAAAACGTATATTATAAAAATGGCCGACATAACAATCTTTTTCCTTTTTAAGAAAACTATAAAGATTTTAGCCTTTATAAATAAAGATTCGAATTGGACAACCTTGGAATGGGCAAGGCAACAAGAGGGGTCTTGAGCTTCAAGACAATCCCAAACTTCTCTTCCAAATCCAACACGTGTCCATCCGGAATCTTCCAATCGAACGAATACAATAGCGTCGCGAGAGTATACAAAACCATCCTCTCGGCGAGTGCTACACCAACACAAATTCTCCGTCCCGATCCAAATGGAAGAAAGCTATGATCAGTTCCAGTGAAATCACAAGACTTCTTATCAAGAAACCTCTCGGGACGAAACTCAGTCGGATTCTCCCACACATTTGGGTCTCTCTGAATACCCCAAACATTGATGAAGATCTTAGTGTTTTTAGGGATGGTGTAGCCGCCGACCAGTGCGGTTTCGGACGGACGGTGAGGGACTAGCAGAGGAGTGGTTGGATAAAGTCTAAGTGTTTCTTTCATAATGGCTAACAAGAAAGGCAATCTAGTGATGTGTGATTCTTCAACAATGTTGTCTTTGCCTACAACTTCGTCTAGCTCTTGTTGTGCTCTCTTCATCAACTCCGGGTTTCTTATTAGTTCGGCCATTGCAAACTCTATCGTGTTGGTTGTTGTATCTGTACCACCAACTACCATATCCTTCATATATATAACAAACATATAAATTAAGTCAGTACTTCTCATGAAAAAATAAAAATAATAGAAATTTTGCATGATTTTAAGTTTTTAACAATCGAAATATATAATTGTGAAAATACTAACGAAAAAATATAATTGTGATACCATCAATTTTTTTTCTCAATTTCCAGAAATATGCTATCCTCCTAAGTTTAATTATATTCTAAAAGTTTTAAATTAGAACCATTTCATTACCACAAGTACGGCTTTGACATGGTTAACCGTAATGGGAAGCTCCGAGTCAGCTTCTTGGTCCTTTAACTTCATCAAATGTTGCAAAAAGTCTTTACATTCACCATCATCACCATCCCTACTTCTTAGTCGATGCATCTGCTCGATGGCTCGATCAAGTATTGCATCGAGCTCTCGAGCATACATATGCATCTTCTTCACAAGTCCTTGAAGATCGAATCTCGCTAACCATGGGAAAAAATCAGAAACATTAGGCTCTCCCAAAAGCCTAGTTATTTCAGAAATCACTCCTTTAAACTCTGTTCCAACACTCTCCATTTCCTCTGCTTTAACCGAACCTCCCCATAACATATTCATTGTTAGATTTATCATCGTCAAAAAGACCTGATCTCCAACATTCACCGGTGATTCTTGACCTTGCTGGTACAAATATCTCGTTCTTTCCCGGATTTCTTTACGTCGAAGCTCGTAGAAAGAATCCAACGTTCTGCGGCTAAGAAGCTTGAGAACGCAAACTTTTCTAAGCATTCTCCATTCGGCACCGTATGGTAACCAAACGAGGTCGAGACCGCCATAGGTAACGGCTCGGGCCGTGAGAGGGACGTCATGGTTTGAGAAATTGATATCTTGATCTTTAAAGATCTCTCTAGCCAGCGATGGAGAGTTGACCACGACGGTTAGTTTAGAGCCTAGATTGAGTTTGAAGATTGGACCATGATTTTGAGCGAGTTTTGTGAAGTAGGTGTGAAGGTCCGGGTCAAGAAAGGGAAGGTTTCCGACAATAGGTAGCCCTCGCGGTCCAGGTGGTAGAGGTGGTTGCGGCGAGCGTTTAAGAAGGTACCATAGAACCGAGAAGATAGCGATGAAAAGGAGAAGTGCGTAAGGTATGACAATGGTTGTGTTGTCGGTGAAGAGATTTGAAATCAGAGACATTTTTGCCAAGTGTTTGGTAGAAGACTAGAAGTTATGAGATTGAAGTTGTTGTCCCTAAAATAGTATTTTATAAGGTTACAACGTACACCATCATTGATCGTCATTGTTAATATATAGTAATACAATAATAGGGAAAGCCAAGTCTAAGTGGAGACTCAAGGGTCTTAAGATAATAAGATGATAACATTTAAGTGGATGGTATACTTTTTCATTGTTTTTCTTTTAGCGAAATATTAATTGTAAATAGTTTTTAGTCATGAAAATATCTCCCAAATTTGAAGCCACTAGGAAAGAAAAAAAAATAATTATCCTTCTGGACCTCAAGAAAAGAGAGTTTGTGTAGTAAGATTGATTGATAGACTATATCACGATCTTAAGGAACTAAAAAACAATCGTCATAATTTTTTTTGTGTACATCGTAAATACAATAACTTAAGGGTGTTGGAGCAAAATATATATCACCAAAACCATACGTGGGTTAGTGCTATACCGGCGCGTATACTGCCACCTCTATGACGTTTTGCTGAAAACTATACCGGCGCGTAATTTATTGGTTTTAAGTCTTTTGACGGTGGCAGCAGACCCCACACCCTTATACGTGGGTTTGATGCTGTGGAGGGAAATTAGTCAAACTCCTTTTATATATAAAGGCATTTGGAAGTTTGTATACTCCCTCCGTTTCGTTTTAGTTGTCGTTTAAGGTTTTCTCACACATATTAAGAAAAACATTAAATTTTCTGTTTTACCCTTTATTAATATATTTTATAAAAAATTCATTGGCCGAAACATTAAAACAGTAGGGATAAAACTGGAATTTTCACAAAATATTTGCATCGAAAACCTAAAACGACAACTATTATGAAACAAAATTTTAACTCTAAAACGACAAGTAAAACGAAACGGAAGGAGTATGAATCAGTGTAGTTTTCAGCAAAACAGTATATAACTTTGAAAATTTTCATGAAATCACTTGGATATGTGGACATAGTCCATGTCTCAAACACATATGACATCATGCATGTATAGTACTAAAAATAAAAAATATAGGTGAAACTCATCATTTATGTATACATAAAGGCAACATTAGACACCCTCACATTGTACAGCTTCAATTCATACATATACATTACATAAGTTCACATAAACAAAAAGAACAATTATTTTTCTCCTTATACTTAAACATAAAGACTTGGATCAGAAAACCTTAGCACGGGTGTTGCAACAAGTGGATTCTTCAACTTCAACACAATCCCAAACTTCTCCTCGAGCTTCACTTTCTCTCCTTCCACAATTTTCCAATCAAAAGAATGCAAAAACGTCGCGAGATTGTAAAGAACAATTCTATCTGCCATGGCCATCCCCGTACAAATTCTCCGGCCAGATCCAAACGGGAAATACCTATAGTCATTACCACTAAAGTCATAACTTTTATCAAGAAACCTATCCGGATTAAACTCTAATGGATTCTCCCATACGTTCGGATTTCTATGAATCGCCCACACATTGATGAAAACCTTAGAATCTTTAGGGATTGTGTAGCCGCCTATAACCGTGGTTTCAGATGGCCGGCGAGGAATAAGGAGAGGAAGAGTTGGGTGAAGCCTTAGGGTTTCTTTCATAATGGAGAGAATGTATGGAAGTTTAGTGATATGTGATTCTTCGACGATGTTGTTTTTTCCCACAACTTTGTCGAGCTCTTGTTGAGCTCTCTTCATGATCTCTGGTTTGTTAATAACCTCTGCCATTGCGAACTCTATTGTGTTCAAACATGTGTCCGTACCACCAAGTACCATGTCCTAGTTAATCAAGAAACATACAAAGTTAACAATCTATACAACCAAAAGTGTGTTACAACAACATTGTTTCAAGAGTAAATTTTATTTTAATCAATGTCAAAAGACTCAAACCACTCAGACCGATCTATAAATATTTTATTAAAAAAAAAAAACATTTACCAGGAGCAAGGCCTTGACATGGTTCATGGACAAAGGTGTCTTCTCATCCTCATCTTTCACTTTCAACAAGACCTGCAAAAAATCTTCACCGTTCCTTTCACTTCCCTTATCCATTTGCACCCGTTGATTTATAATCCGGTCAAACATCCGGTCCATCCTCTGAGCCGGTCCACGCGAACGCTTAACCAAACCTTGAAGATCAAACCGGCTCAAAACCGGAAAAAAGTCAGAGACATTCGGCTTTCCCGCAATATCAATGATCTCTCTCACCAACTCCAAGAACTCAGCTCCAACACTCTCTCTTTCCTCGCCGTCCGCAACTGTTGCTCCCCACAACATTTGAGTCACCACATTCAATATAGTCACAAATATCTGTTCTTCAAGGTTCACCGAAGATCCGGTCCGCGCCTGGTCTGCCAAATACCGGACCGTTTTCCGGGTCTCGCGGCAACGAAGTGAATTGAAAGCATTTGAATCCAAATTTGCATTGCTTAACAATCTATTAATGCAGATTTTTCTCAGCATTCGCCATTCCGGCCTGTACGGTGACCAGACAATGTCTATGCCACCGTACGTGCTGATTGGACCCACGACAGGAATGTCGTGGTTCGCGAAAATGACGTCATTGGTTCTTAGAATCTCGCGTGTGGCTTCAGATGAAGTGATTACAATGGTTAGCTTAGCACCGAGCCAGAGTTTGAGAACGGGACCATGTTTTTGAGCGAGTTTGTGAAAGTAAGTATGAAGCTCCGGGTGGAGGAATGGGAGGTTTCCGACGATAGGAAGACCCCGAGGTCCCGGCGGTAACGGTGGAAACCACCTTTTGGATTTGGCGTAAAGCCAGATATACCAAAATATAGAGGATCCGACGATCGCAGCTATAACATAGTCGAAATGGTCGCTTTGACTTTGGATCGTAAGAAACTGAAAAATTCTCTCATTGTTTCTTGGTTACGTAGAAACAGAAGTATCTGTAAGAAATATTTTTTTTAGTTATTGTAATGTTTTTTTAGTTATTGTAATGTTTTTTCTTTCTTTTTGTATCAAATTTCGACATGAACCTGAGACTATATAGATGCTTGGTTCCGAGATGATCACTAGTACTCCCTCCGTTTCACAAAGAGTGTCGTTTTAAGGTTTTATTTTTGTTTCACAAAGAGTGTCGTTTTAGGTTTTCAATGCAAAATTTAATGATTTTTTATGTTTTATGACTATTAGTATTCTGCAGATTGTTTTACTATTGGGCAGATTGTGTTTAAGTATATAGGTAATGATGTTTTTGTTTAGAAAAAATAAAAAATTTAATGTTTTCTTAATCTGTGTGCAAAACTCTAAAACGACACTCTTTGTGAAACAGAGGGAGTATAGTTTTATTAGGTTTTTGGTCAATGGTACTACTCAATATTTAGTTTATTGTATTATGTGGTATTTGAATTAGTAATTATTGCACATGGAAACATGTGTATGATTATGTACTAATTAAGTTTTTAACTTTTTAGATTACGAGACTATTTCAAACTCCTAGTGGTAGTAGGATGCTCATACCACACTTTATTTTATTGTTGCTCACTTATTAATTTATAGTAGTAATTAGTGCACATGAAAAGATATGTTAGATTAGTGCGAATTAAGTATTTAAATTAAGAGACTATTTCAAACTCCTAGGAGTGGGGTGCCATAACACTTAAGTATTTAAAAAATTGTCCACCTTTTCAATTATTATCGCATGAATAATTCATTCTTAATTATGCAATATCAAAATGTTACTTTCAGTTGCTCTACTGAAATAAGAATTTATACAAACAATCAATCAGAAAATTTTATCCAGAAAAAATAGTCAAAGGACGAAGAAGTAGATGTATTAGAAATAACTTGGAAAGCAAAATATTTATTTTGGGGACCGAGTATTGTAAGCAAAATGTCTATGAAACCCGTAAAGCTTAAATAAAAAGACTTGTAGAACAAGATAATATTATAGTATATTTCTATTATTAATGTAATTGTTTGATGTGTTGGATTTAGATTAGGATACTTTACATATGCGGTGTTAGCAATATATCAATGTTAATCACTATATATATGTGGGGGCTGAGAAGTCTAAAGGAAGCAAATGATGTGAGTTGTTTGAAGTTGGTGTGGAGAATCCTTTCAAATAAATCATCACTGTGGGTAAAATGGATCGATACATATTTACTAAGGGGAAAATCATTATGGACAGTGAAACAGAGCACAAGCATGGGATCCTGGATTTGGAAAAAAATCCTAAAATACAGAGAAGTGGCAAAATCTTTTAGCAAGGTTAATGTGGGTAATGGAAACTCTGTTTCCTTTTGGTTTGATAATTGGTCGACGCTTGGGAGGTTAATTGATATTGCAGGTGAACGGGGATTCATTGATCTTGGGATAGCTAAAGAATCATCAGTGGCAGAGGCTTGGACTCGGAGACGTCGTAGGCAGCACCGAGTTGACCTTTTAAATGACATCGAAGAGACACTGGATTTACAAAGGCAACAACGCAGGGAAGAGGATGACATTGTGCTGTGGAAAGGCAAAAATGATGTTTATAAAGAAAGGTTCTCTACCAAAGATACATGGAATCAGATCAGAGCTGCCTCTCCCATGGTCTCTTGGCACAAAGAGGTATGGTTTGTTCACGCTACTCCGAAATATGCGTTCTGTACTTGGCTGGCGATTCATGACAGGCTTTCCACGGGTGACCACATGGTTAAATGGAACAGAAGTGTTTCGGGCAACTGTGTTTTCTGCAGCAACTCCGAATCTCGCGACCACCTATTTTTTTCTTGCAGCTATGCTTCTGCAGTCTGGGCTGCACTCGTAAAAGGACTATGGAAGTCAAGGCTCACGTCAAACTGGCCTCAGATTCTAGCTCACATCTCAGCTCAATCTCAGGATCATGTAGAACTCTTCTTACTTCGGTATGTACTGCAAGCTACAATCTACACAATTTGGCGAGAGCGAAACAGTCGGCGACATGGAGAGACACCAAACAGTCCAGCAACTCTGATCGGATGGGTTGATAAACAGGTCCGAAATCAAATCACTACCATCAGACATATGGGGGACAGGAGGTTCGAAAAGGCGTTCCAAGTTTGGCTCCGAGCTCGAGCTTGATCGGTTTTCTAAACATTTTCTCAAACTTATTTAAAATTTCAGATTGTGGATTCAAATTTTTCTTTCGATAACTCATTGCACTAGTTGTAAAAACGTTATTTTCTTTAAATATAATTTAATATTACATTCAAAAAAAAAAAAAAAATCACTATATATATGTATTGATCCAGATTGGGATATTACTCTTGCAAGTTTGATGGGAGGAGTCGGAAGCAGCGATAGGGACATTCTAATACGTCTTTGTTTCCAAGTCACGATTTATTTTGTTTGGAGGGAGAGAAACGGTCGGATACATGGAGGAACCTATTGCTTAGCGAACCATGTGGTGAAACTCATTGACAAACAAATACGGAATAGGATTGTATCTCTCAAATACGTTCAAAAGCCGCGAATCCGTCTTGCTAGCCAGTAGATACCATTGTACATAAGTGCTTCCACTTGATTAATAAATTACACATTCAAACAAAAAAAAAAAATTGGCATTAATCAAGCTTACAACTTATCGTTATTCAGGTTTTTGATTTGCATATTAGAAGTGCAAGATTGTATGGATACGATACTCATTGGGTATCCGTATCTTGATGAATTGGATCGTCTCACAAAAATTTTCATTTTAAAAATAATTTTTTTTAATAAAGAAATTCACTTGGAACTCTACCATTGGACAATGAAAAATTTAAGAATTCTAACACAAACTCTAAACTTTGAAATTAAAAGAATTTAAAATTTCAAAAAATTGTAAAAACTTTTTGTGGGACTCTACCATTGGAGATGGTCTAAGGCACTTGAAAGTGTATATGATTTGATGACTTGTTTAGCCGTAAAATAGGAATTAGTGTAGTTTTCAACAAAACAGCATATAATTATAACATTATTGGAAATTTTCATGAAATCACTTGGATATGTAGACATATATAGTCCATTTCTTAAACACATATGACATTTATGTATACATAAGACGACATTAGACACCGTCACTTTTTTTTTTTTTTAAATACCAATTTATATATATTAAAACGATTACAAGCAAGAACATAGCAAATTTTACAACCAGAAAGTGATCAGACCATACCAACTTACCAGAACCAAGTTTGAAACACTTCAAACCAAGTTTATATTATACATAAAGAGCTATTATTATCTTATGAACATATTATATAAGTTCACATAAACAAAGAGAGCAATTATTTCTTCTTTTACTTGTCATAAACTTAAACATAAAGATTTGGATCAGATAACCTTAGCACGGGTGTTGCAACAAGTGGGTTCTTCAACTTCAACACAACACCAAACTTCACGTCGAGCTTCACTTTCTCTCCTTCCCCAATTTTCCAATCAAAATAATGCAAAAACGTCGCGAGATTGTAAAGAACAACTCTATCTGCCATGGCAATTCCCGGACAAATTCTCCGGCCAGATCCAAACGGGAAATAACTATAGTCATTACCACTAAAGTCATAAGATTTATCAAGAAACCTATCCGGATTAAACTCCAATGGATTCTCCCATACGTTCGGATTTCTATGAATCGCCCACACATTGATGAAAACCTTAGAATCTTTAGGGATTGTGTAGCCACCTATAACCCTGGTTTCAGATGGGCGTCGAGGAACAAGAAGAGGAAGAGTTGGGTAAAGCCTTAGGGTTTCTTTCATAATGGCGAGAATGTATGGAAGTTTAGTGATATGTGATTCTTCGACGATGTTGTTTTTCCCCACAACTTTGTCGAGCTCTTGTTGAGCTCTCTTCATGATCTCTGGTTTGTTAATAACCTCTGCCATTGCGAACTCTATTGTGTTCAAACATGTGTCTGTACCACCAAGTACCATGTCCTAGTTAATTAATCAAGAAACATACAAAGTTAACAATCTATACAACCAAAAAATTGTGTTACAACAATATTGTTTGAGAAGTAAATTTTATTTTAATCAATGTCAAAAGACTCGAACCATTTAAACGGATCGATAATTCTTTTTATCAATGAAAACAAGAGAAGAAATATATGAGTTTAAAAAGGAAAGAAAGAAAGTAATTTTCTAAATAGCCAAAATGGATCAAAATTTTGGTTGTAAAACCATTAACATGTAGGGTTTTTTTTTTCTCATGTGATTCAATAAACAGTGTAGTATCATATTGTAAAAATTATAATTACCAGGACCAAGGCCTTGACAAGGTTCATGGACAAAGGTGTCTTCTCATCCTCATCTTTAATATTCAACAAGACCTGCAAAAAATCTTCACCGTTCCTTTCACTTCCCTTATCCATTTTCACCCGTTGATTTATAATCCGGTCAAACATCCGGTCCATCCTCTGAGCCAGTCCACGCGAACGCTTAACCAAACCCTGAAGATCAAACCGGCTCAAAACCGGAAAAAAGTCAGAGACATTCGGCTTTCCCGCAATATCAATGGTCTCGCTCACCAACTCCAAGAACTCAGCTCCAACACTCTCTCTTTCCTCGCCGTCCGCAACCGTTGCTCCCCATAACATTTGAGTGACCACATTCATTATAGTCACAAATATCTGTCCTCCAAGGTTAACCGAAGACCCAGTCCGAGCCCGGTCTGCCAAATACCGGACCGTTTTCCGAGTCTCGCGGCAACGAAGTGAATTGAAAGCAGTTGAATCCAACGTTGCATTGCTTAACAATTTAGTCATGCAGATTTTTCTCAGCATTCGCCAATTAGGCCCGTACGGTGACCAGACAATGTCTATGCCACCGTACGTGCTGATCGGACCCACGGCAGGAATGTCGTGGTTCGCAAAAATGACGTCATTGGTTCTTAGAATCTCGCGTGTGGCTTCAGATGAAGTGATTACGATGGTTAGCTTAGCACCGAGCCAGAGTTTGAGAACGGGACCGTGTTTTTGAGCGAGCTTGTGAAAGTAAGTATGAAGCTCCGGGTGGAGGAATGGGAGGTTTCCGACGATAGGAAGACCCCGAGGTCCCGGTGGTAACGATGGAAACCACCTTTTGGATTTGGCGTAAAGCCAGATATACAAAAATATAGAGGATCCAACGATCGCAGCTATAACATAATCGAAGTGGTCGCTGAGACTTTGGATCGTAAAGAAACTGAAAAGTTCTCTCATTGTTTGTTTATGTAGAAACAGAAGTATCTGGAAGAAAAAAATTTCTTTTAATTACTGCAATGTTGTTTTCTTTCTTTTTGTATCAAATTTCTACATGAAGCAGAGACTATATAGAATTATAGATGCTTGGTTCCTAGATGACCACTAGTATAGTTTTATTAGGTTTTTGTTCAATGGTACTACTCAATAGTAGTTGTATCAATTTATTAACACTTTTCGTTTGATATTTTTTTCTTAAATTTTTTTTTGAAATATTTCCCCCGCGACATCGCAAGGGGTTTGTGAAATAAATTGTCAAACAAAAAATTTAACAATAAATCAAAATATTTTTTACGAAATTATGATAAAGAAACAACCCTCAAAAGCATTTCTTAAGATTTATCTTATTATTAAAAAACATTGTAGTGAAAAATGCGATCATAAGTAAAAACAAATATCAAACGAAGAGTATAATGAGTAGACGCAATTTTTGCATTTGTTAAACAATTATAAACATAATTATATAAATATATTCAACAAAAATTATGATAGAAATACGCAATATTTTAAATTGTGTTATATTAAAGAGAGACAATCTCCGGAAAAAATTAAACAAATAACCAAAATTGATAGTTATTTAGAAAAAAAATTAATGTTATAAATAACAAAGTATATACATGAGTATAAGATAGTGAAAGAATAAAACTTAATATGAAAAAGCATCAAACAAAAAATAATAATAAATATACACAAATTTTTTAAGAAAAAAAAAAAAATATATATATAGTTAAAAAAGGCATGAAAGTTTAAATAGAAAAAACTGTTTGTAAAAGATAAAATTAGTGGAACGAAGCATTTGTGATGAAAAAACACAAATAAATCATGGTGATAAGATATAACTCTAAATGAACAAATATAATTTTAATTAATGCTCTTAATTTTTCATAAAGAGAAAATGTTGCAACGGTTCATAAATATATCAGAAGTTGTAATAGTTCATCAAATAAACTAAATGTTGCAACAGTTCATCAAATATACCAACTGTTGCAATAGTTCATCAAATAAACCAAATGTTATAACAGTTCGTTAAATAAGTCAAAATGTTAATTGATTCGTCAAATAAACTAAATTTTACTATGTTTAATTAAATATGTTAGCATTAGTTTATTTAAATATATTTTAGTAATTGATTTTTTTAAGTTATAAAGATATAAATCATTAAATTTGGTTTGACTTTTTGAAAAAATGACCAAGTTCGATGAAATTTTTTTTAACATTTTGAAAAAATAATTTTAAAAATAGCTATTTCGGACATAACGTTCAATTTCCGTTTATCAGACGGTAACGGAGTTACCTTTCCGTTGACAGTCTGCGTTGAACCAAACGACGTCCAAGATTTACATTAACAACCTACCACCTCTCACAAACTTACACTTCTATATATTTTACTTGGTAAATAATGTATTCTTTTATTTCAAGAAAGTATTCATATTCTTCTAAGCTTCCTTTATATATTGAGTTATTAACATATACTCTCTCTGTTTCACAAAGAGTGTCGTTTTAGAGTTTTGCACACAGATTAAGAAAACATTAAATTTTTTGTTTTTTCTAAACAAAAATATCATTACCTATATACTTAAACACAATCTGCCCAATAGTAAAACAATCTGCAGAATACTAATAGTCATAAAACATAAAAAATCATTAAATTTTGCATTGAAAACCTAAAACGACACTCTTTGTGAAACAAAAATAAAACCTTAAAACGACACTCTTTGTGAAACGGAGGGAGTACAAATCACCATGTCCCCGATCATTATCATCATTTAGCTGTCTTTTGTCTTTTTCCCAACAAATACTTAAAATACTAAACATGAGTTTGCCATAGACATTATTAATACTTAAAATACTAAACATGAGTTTGCCAGAGACATTATTAATATTTGTTTTCCATAAAATATCTCATATAGTTAAATCTCTCTCTAACACAATGACACAACTCACTGAAGGCATCACCTTCTCCTAATTAAATTTGTGCTGAGTATCACAAAAGTAAAAATAAAAATGATTGTTACATGAAACTTCGAAACTTCCTTTATATATTAACATAGACAAATCACAACGTCTCCGTCATTATCATCTTTTAGCTGTCTTTTATCTTTATCTTTCCCAACAAACACTTAAAATACTAAACATGAGTTTCCCGTAGACATTATTAATATTTGTTTCTCGTAATAGTCAAATCTCTCCAACATAATGACACAGCTCACTGAAGGCATCAATTATCACGTTCTCCTAATTAAATTTGTGCTGAGTAATGATTGTTACATTACCAAGTAATTCTGAATTTGAATCTGTTTGGATGGACTGGCATGAGTAAGGATGCTCTTTGAGGTTTAGCGATTTATAAAAATGTACTACATACATCAATGGAAAATAGAGATTTATATATAACGGTATCTAAAAATGTAAAATGGAAATAGAGCAGAAAAAAGAGAGAAATTTATTAAAACATGTAGGTTTTGCCAAAGGTATTGTGGAAATAAAAGAATAACAATTTTCTCAATGAAAAAAGTAAAATTTTGTCGTGATTCATAAACAAAAAAAGTAACATAATTCATAACCTAGAAATCCAAGTGAAAATTTCTTCATAACCTATAAGTTTTGAACACAACCTACAAATTGGTACTTTCTTATCTCTCAGCCCGTTTTAAGTTTTGAATAAATACGAAACCCTATACTCTAGTTTTATAAGCGTCCAAGATTTACATTAACAATCCCTACCACCTCTCACACTGCTATATATTTTACTTGGTAATTAATATCGGAAGATCGATGAGATCGACCCACACCGAATCGAGATCGACCAAAATTACGAACCGAGATCGAGATTCGTCGATTCGATATGGAAGTAATAGATATAATGGTAAATATCCTAAACTAAAATATTAATTGAAACTAAGATAATGGTAAATATCCAAACAGTTAATCCGATCCGTCTCTGTATTGATTGAAACTAAGATAATGGTAAATATCCAAACACACGATGGCCCGTTAATCAGTCTCCGAAAGTGGCACGATCACCCCCATTAATTGATAGTTCAAAGGAAGGCTCAATTCCGTCGAAATAGATAGAAAGAGCATTATTGTTTTGACTACAAACCCCTCTACTCTCATTTTATAAGCATCCAAGATTTACACTACTATATATTTTACTTGGTAAATAATGTATTCTTTTATTTCATGACATTATTCATATTCTTTGAAGCTTCCTTTATATATTAACACTAGAAAGTTGCCCACGCGATGCGTGGGTTATGCATTCAATTATTTTGTATACAGATCGAAGTTTACATAAAATAATATATGGAAAGTACATTTGTATTGTTATTATGTTTTGAAAATAATTTAAATATATTCAATTTTTGAAGTATTTTTGTGAATAACTAATTTTAAATGTTGAAAAATTAGTAGATAAATTCCATGCAAGCACTTTAAACATATGAAATTTTGATATTATTTACTATTTTTATTTTGTCAACAGCTTAAATTAAAGCTCAAAAGAGCCATTCATGGGAAATGTTGTTTACATATGTGATATGAAGCGGTTCGGTACGAACTTGTCGAGCCAATTTATCTGCTTTTACATTTGCGCTACGAGGAATCAAAGATAAAGAAAATGTTGAAAATTCTTCCCTGTCACTCTGAAAGTCCTCCAGATACACTGAAAAAGCCGCCATTCGGTTGGAAAAGACACCATTTTCACCAAATCTGAACAGTCTGTAAAGAAAGCTACATCTTGGTTGTCAGCACCAATCATACACTTCATCGCCCAAAGAAGAGCTTCGACTTCTGTATGTAAAGGAGATAGACTTCTACGGATGTTGGCAACTCTCATGGTTGGCATCTCTCCATTTGATGATGTACAATACCATCCTGTTCCTGAAAAAGTATCGGTTCCTTTCCATGAACCATCTATGAAACAACGATATCCTGAATAATTAGACTCCAGTGAGATTTCCCTCACTCGGTTTCGATTTTTATTATCTAAAAAACCATGGTTATCAGTATGAAGCTCATTTTGACCTAGCTGCCACGATTGCGCCTCTTTCTCCGCTAAACGTAAGACCTCTAATGGATCTTTATCCACATTGTCAAAGATCTTTTCATTCCTTGTTTTTCAAATGTACCAAATTATCCATGGATAAGAAGATGATTCTACCTCTTAAGGTATTCTCCAAAATAGGTGATCCAAGTTCTCGTAAATAGAAGCCGTAGAGAAAATCCCCGGGACCGAAGGAATTAGAGAAAGAGCCCAAATTTGTCTCGCTGAATGGCATTCAAAAAGTGTATGGTTAACTGTTTCCTCTATGGTGCCACATTTAACACATCCGGTATCACAATTTATACTTCTCTTTCGCAGATTCTCCGTAATCAGTACACAACCTGATAAAATTTGTCACAAAAAATACCGTAGCTTAGGTGGACACTGCACCTTCCAAGCATATGCTTTTAGAGGTTTTATATTCGGGCCAAAAGATTTTGAACATGCATCCAAATCCTCTATCCGAGTCGTATGGTAACCAGATTTAACCGTATATTTTACAGATTTAGTGTAATGCCAACCAAGGATATCCTCTTTGGTTGACACACCCAAAGGCAAGACACTAATCAGCGCGACATCTTCTAAATCAAAGAGCTCCATCAAGAGATCCATGTTCCAAAAATTTGACCGGCTGTCGACAAGGCTAATAACTTTCAAAGATGGGTTAATAATTGAACCATTACTTTTTGCTGGTCTCGGAAATTGAGCTGGTATCTATGGATCCTCCCAAACTGAGATGAACGCCCCAGAACCGACTCTTTTAATAAGTCTTTTAATAACCAGAGATCTAACTGACAATATACTTCTCCAACCATAAGAAAGAGAGTATGATTTTATATTATCCAATGGATTGGATTTCCAAAAATACTGTCCTTTAAAAACCTTTGCAAAAAGTGAATCAGGAACCGTAATCAAACGCCATAATTGTTTTGTTAGTAACGTCGAGTTAAAATCATCTACATTCCGAAATCCTACACCACCTTCCGATTTACTA